AATATCCAATACTAAATATCAACAACTATGTAGCACTGCCAAATACATCAACAATGATACCTATTCAAACACTTTCAAATATAATAGAAGATGCTTATACAAACAAAGAACAACTGTGGTTACTACAGTCTAGGAATATACCATATTTGGTTATTGCAGATCACACCTTATTTAGTAATGATCATTCATCAGATTGTTCTGGATTTTTTCTAGATTATTCCACGTGTTATAAAGATTGGCCAATAAAAAATAGTTATTATAAACACATATACGTATTTAAACCTCCTTTCTCAATACATATAACCTCTTAGCTATATAAATCCAGAGCCTAATTTAGATTTTAAAAATTGGCAAAATATAGACCCGAGTTTTGTACAGTATATGTGCTTATAGTTTAGTGGTACTCACTTCCAAACAAATTATATATCGATATAGTATTAGCAATATTAATTCAAGTCTTGTTATCTAGCTTTTTTTTATTATAACATAAACTAGAAATTTCAAATGTAATAAACTTAAGATAATACAAATAATCACGCTTAAATAGAAGTACTGTACATTAAAAATCAAATAAAATAATTTAAATTTAACTTATTATTTAAAATTATATAATTTATTTAATTAACTGAATAATTCGATTAATAAATACATACTCGTTACCCAAATTAACATTATTAATAAAATAAAGTAAATCTTAATAATAGGCCCATGGCATATTCCAAATATATTGATTACTGGATTAATAAATATTTACACAGTAATTAAAACATTCTCAAGCACTTCTCAATAGATTTGATAGTGAATTTATATGATTAAGAGCATTATTAATCACTTTTCTCAATAAATTTATAAAGAATCTAATTAGCCGGTCTGATCAGACAGACATTTAGATTCATTGTATTCATTGATAGATCGCTATAAAATAAACTATACCGGGTGTTTCAAAAGTTCCCAAACACAGCCTCTTTTTTAAGTGACTTTATACATAGAGATCACGATGATTATTTATGCAAAATATATATACAGTATTTACATAAATGATCTCTATGTATAAGGTCACTTTAAAAAAAGAGATTATGTTTTGAAACTTTGAAATGCCCAGTATAACAATATAAAGAATAATAAGGGTGGTCAAAGTATAAGGTAGTAATAGAGACGGGGTAAGAAATATAAGCCTCATTCTTAGTTTGATCAACTCACTGACAATCACTTCGAAGACACCACATTTTACTGATGAGCTTACGATTAATTGATAGAAAGTTTATTTTATATTCTCATTAAGGTTAGGTTAAGAATTAGAGTTAGTGCAGCTTATAAAAAACATGACTACAAAATAAATTTTCAGTAAAATATACTATCTATGAAATGTGCTTGCCTGTCAATTAATCGTCTGTAAAATAAGATTGTTGCTAAAATGTGGCATCTTCAAGGTGATTGTTGGTGAAATAATATAAACCTTTGAGTAATTACAAATTATTGTGCTCCTATGTTTTGTTCATCGAAATAATAGCTCCTTGATTAGTTATTCGACCTTTGGCTAATTAAAATTTTTCTTTAGTCTAAGTACTTCAACCAATATACTTACAGACCATAAGATTTTATATACCTAAATAATTTACTCCAAATGTTTTGATTAAAAAATGCTTATAAATAATTAGCTATAACTAAAATAAATAAATAAGTAAAGCGAATCTCTATGAACCTGAATAGTTTATTCAATTAAACATATTCATATATCAGAATGCTTCTATAAATCTAAAAGGCTCATTTCGAATACTTTGATTAATAATTTAATAAGGTATTTTAACTAAGTTTGCAGAAATGCATAACAGACCTTTCGTTCTTAACTTCCAGTAAGTAAACACTATGGAAAGATCATTTAAAGTGCTACAAATTATTTTTTCTGATCTAAAAATATATAAGGTAAAGCTTTAACTTTAGGTCTCATTTACCTTTTTGTGGGCAGTTGATCGGAAGGGATTAATTAGGATGATTAGATCTATGAACTTTGTAGTATCTATCTGTATATCGTTTAATAACAAGTGAATATACAGAATACTGTAAAACCTCGTGGCGAAGTTAAGTGAAAAAAAAAATACAAGGACTAATAAAATTCACGGATTTTCTCATCGATCATTCTAGAACCTGATTTCCTAATCGGGTATATTCCCAGACTGTACTATCACAAGATATATCAAAAGTGTACGATTCGGTGCATATACCACTGCTTAAAATGGTACTACAAAGACTAAAGATACCTAATAGCATCATAGCACTAATTACAGAAATATTTACAGACAGATCAAACCATGTAATTACAAACCTAGAGAATACAAACAAATACTCAGTATATGATGGAATAGATCAAAGGGAGACGATAGCACCACTACTATGGAGGATCTACTATGATTCTCTAATAACACCAGTTACATATTCAAGTCATATATTAACATTGAAGCACCTGACAACACAAAGATTCAAACAAAGTACTTGGTACTGGTGTATATAGACGATACCTTATGAATCGCACTAACAAAAGAGCAATTACAAGATATCGTAAATATTGCAATGACTTTCTACCAGTTAACAAACATTCAGGTGAACCCAATGAAATCAGTACTTGCAGCAATAACAAAATCACCAAGCCCAGAGATAAAATTTAACAACACAACAATAAAGGCAATAGACGCAAAAGCAAGCTTCAGATTCCTTGGCTGTTGGTATACAACTGGCAAAAAACATACACCAGTACACAAAATTATAAAAGAAGAGGTGACAAATGCACTAAAATGGATGAGACGAGCCAGAATCACTGACAAACAAGCCATATACATAGTCAACACAGTAATTCTCACAAGAATTGCCTACCGAATACAAAACACTACCTTGGCACCCTCAACATGCAAACAAATTACAAACAGTTATACAAACATGATAAAACACAAAGCAGGCCTGGCATCTAGCATACCAAACTCAACAATGCATCATCACAAATATATAGTCTTAGAACGGTAGAAGACATACAGACTCAACAATATATATCAATAATGAGTTATTTACTCAACCACCCTCTCTTCAACACATCCTCTCTCAAAATAAAATTGCAACAACTACAAAACGCTGCAGCAACAAATAAGTCTATCTTGTCAACCAACATAATAATTATACCAAACACACAAGGCAATACAACAACTGCGAAAATAATCCAAATATGCCAACAAAACCAAATTGCTTTCAGCAGCAACAATAACCCTTGGCCAAAACCTCACTCACAACAAGGCACATCAATTAATAATATCTTAAACAACATATCAGCTGCAAGTGCTATAAAAAACAAACTAAATAATCCAAACCTTTACTATATCAAACAATTACTAAATCATGACATGACACAAACCATAACATGGCAGGCCCTTCCATATACAAGAAAGAGAATACCAAGAGGCAGACAACCAAAATGGTACAATGAGCTAATAATAGAAACAAACCTTTGGCTAGAACACAATAACACAAGATTGAGACAACCAAACCATTTATAACACATAACGAAACACCAAGAAAAAAGAAATAGATTATATACAAAAACAAATTAATAGGCAAAGTAAGTAGACTAACCTCAACATATATAGACATCCAACACTAGATCTACAACGGACATGAGTAATTACAAAAATGCAAAGGATGCAACCATAAAGAAAGAACAAAACTAAAACAGAAAAAATGCTCGATAAGAATAAAACTACCAGCAGAAATAAGTATTATACAAGTCGATTGCAAAAACAAACTAAGAAGCAACTACGAAGATCTAACATACAAATACATCAAGCAAACAAGCAACAAAAAGACAACAACATCAATACTAACAACCAAACTACTAAGAACAAACCTAAACAATATCGACAAAGCACTTTCAGATATAGAAACAAAACTTACAATATCAAACATTCACAAGCAAATAAGCAGCCAACAACTAAAGAATATCGATATAGCATTAAGCATACAAACAGATATAATCAGGAATATATCAAAGATAACAGCACACTGGTGGACAAGAAACAAAGAAATACAATTCTACCAAATGACAAGTATCTGGCCATCTGATCAAAAAATATTATGTAACGCATTATCTTGCATACTACTAGCAGTACCTTATGGAGCAAAGATAAACATACTATGTAATTACAAACACACAACAAGCATAACAAATATAATAAATAATATACCAACATACAACATAATCCAACTGCTATGAATAAATAATAGAAGTGGTTGGTTAATATTCAAAGCACTAGCAGCAAGAAAAAACATTCTATGGGCAATACAATATAACCAACATTTAAAAGACTGAAAACAAATACAAGTCTGCACCAAACTGAGATTATATACACAAATATAAGGAATGATATATTTACAATAAGCTGGAAAGGAAAACCGATTGAACATTCATCAAGAAGATTTATACGATACATTCAAAATGCACAACATATAGCAAAGTGGCAGTTACAGAATAGAAATAGTAAATGGGATGAGATCAGAGAGAGTATTGACTGGAAACAATTCTATAACTATATAAATTACAATGAAAGTCCAATATCAAGAAATATCAATCCCAAATACTCACAAATAAAAGCCTTCAAAATAAAGCTATTATTGGATGAACTTCCAGTAGAAGCAAACCTTCACTAATGCTGCTCTAAAAAATACATAACAGGAATATGCAACAGATGCAAAAAAGATCAAGAAACAAACATTCATTGGTTAATATGCCAGAAAAATACAAAACAAATAGACCAAATCATAGTAATGACGATAACAAAAGTGTTAACAAAACAAAAGATACTCACTAAAACTAATTTACAAATGATGTTACAAATATATAAACCAAAGATTGATGAGATAATAGGTGTAAATCCAATATTAACTACGATAGCAACACAAGAAGTCATTAACAAAGTTAACAAAATTGGAGACCAATACAAAGGAAAACATAACTTTTTCTGCCACGTATCACATAAGATAACAAGCAACATACATAAAGAAATCTGGATTCACAGATGCAAAGAAGTGACAAAAGCCAGACAAGACAAAGAAAAAAACAAGACAAAAGAACACAACAAACAAAAATAACAAAATCAAAACAGCAAAACAGAAAAAAGATACAAGTACCGAACAACCAAACCAAGATACCATGAATGAAAAAGCAAAAAAGAAGTTTGAAAAGTGGTCTCTGCTCTTTCAACAATATAACACATCACCATTAATTATAAACAGCATCATAGACTAGGTGAGGTTTAGGCCCTACTTAGCAAAGTATAGGTCATAGGTAAATTAGCCTAAGCATTAGTTTCGGTAGAATTAATGTATTACTATATGTAAGATTTAGATGTACTACATATATTAAATTTCAATAAAGAAACTGAGGCAAGACCTTACTTTTTAAAAAAAAAAAAAAAAAAAATTATTGATTCTTTTTAGATTACAAAGAATTAAAAAAAATCTAGAACTATATTAATTTAATAATTCCTTAGTTACAAAATGGTAACATCTATAAAGTTATTGATTTTTTAGATTATAAAAAATTAAAAAAGTTTAAGACTATATTAGTATAATAATTCATCAATTGCAAAATGTTAATAGAATCTATCAGGACGACCCCCCTTTTTTATGGGTCATGTGATGATCGACAACAAATTAACCAATGATAAATCATAATCTCATGTAATATAACACGATCCAGAAAATTCAAAACAAATGTCTACTTTGTTAAAAAACTCCTTTAGCTCACGAATTTGCATAAGAAACCGGTCTTTATGCTTTAACAAAAAAAATTCCTTTAGTGATTTTACTTTAAAGATCTTATTTTAACTCTAATTCTGACATTAACTTTGACGCTAATTTAATTTTACAGAATAATAAGTTATTTTGTCAATCATTGTCACAGATCATAATAAAGTCTGATCAAAATGAAACTGAGGACCTCTCATGTCCACCCTTAGAGCCTATAAAACCCACATATACTCATTTATTAATAAACCTAACCCTAAACCCTACCCCTAATGCTAAAAAGAACCCCAAAAAATGTCACCCAAAAAATTTTATATTTTTTTAAAAAACAGAAAAATTTCGTTTTGATCAGATTTCATTTTAATCTGTGACAATCATTACATGATCCATAAAATGGAGGAGTCATCCTAAAGAATCCATGTTAATATTTATAAAATTATCGATTCTTTTGATCAAGAAGAATTAGTATAAGTATGAAACCATATTGACTCAATCAATCCTAAATAACAAAGTAATATTAAAAAAAAACTTAATATATTAATTAATAAAATAAAAACTCTACCAGATTATGAAATTTCAAGAATCAAATATTTAATTAATACTATCCCTTAGATTATAATAGAACACAGTCAAATTTGCCTGTATTTTTGCACTTTTTTGGCTCTGATTTACTTTTATAAAAAACCAAAATAATTAAATAAAACTTTGTACAATTATATTTGAAAATAAGAATTACTTTTTTGCAGTATTTATTTTTAGATAATAAGAAAAAAATTTTAGGTTACTTATAAACCTAAAATATACAATTATAAAAATAATTTATAAAGAAAAAATTTTTTAGTTTATCTATGACAAACTTTTTAAATATTAATTTTAGACTTATAGTTTCTAATACAACTTTATAGTTTGAATTAAGAATTATAATTTTAATTATTATAAATTTTGTATTTTACTTGTAAAAATTAATACTCGTCTTAAGAGTAAAAATTTTTTTAGCTTCGGAAACATATAAAATTTTAGAAAACCTAAAAAATTTTTTAATACTAAATCCTAATATTATACAAACTTTAAACTTTAATTAATCAAAAGTTTTTTAATTATTTTAAAAAAAATTTAATAAAGTTGATAAAGTAGATCTTTAAAAGTCTTTTTTAATTAAAAAGTATATTACTAAAATTAATATTTGAAATTTTATTAAAAAAATAAAGTTCAAAAAAATAAATGCAGGCAAATTTGCCTGTGTTACAATTTAAGAGATAATATTTTGTAATGTTGAAGTGTTTTTTTTTTTATTCTTAATAATTTCAATAATATTCGAATTAATTATATAATTTATAAAAATATTTATAATTACTTATCTATATTTTAAAAATGTAAAAAATAACTTAAATAGTTTCTATAAATTAAAAAGCATTTAAATATTTATAATGCTTTAAACTAAACAAAAGTGAAGTTAGTTATAACAAATAAACGAATATTTTAAAAAACTCGGAAAATTTTAAAAAGCTTAAAAGTAATACGAAGATTATAACTAAGTTTAATACAAGTATAATTAATAAAAAAGTTTTATAAATGTTCTTAGCTTTTAAAAGTTGCACAATTAAGAAAATACTATTAAACTCTTTCCGTTAATCACTTACACAAAACTTAACTAAAAATTCATCAGTATAAAATCCTTAATAACTCAATATTCTATTAAGATAACTGCTTCTAACATCTTAAGTAAACTTGCTCAGCTCTTAATTTTACATATAATTTAAGAGTTTCAAGCCTTTATCTTGAAAACTCGTAGTATAACGCTACAAAAACCTCTTTTGGTTTTAGAATCCAAACTTTTAACTATTTCTCTAAAACTGTCTTTACAACTTATCTGTTAGCACTAAGATAAGTTGTTAAGCTCATCCATCTGGTCAAAACAAGACCTCAACAGAGGCTTTCGGCCTAATATTGACCAAAATATTAACAAAAACTCTCTTTGCTCCTCTACAAAAATTCCTTAAAATTCTTTTGTCCTTACCCCCAACTTTTTTCCCCAACCCGTTTTTTGTGTAATGGTAGATCATATTCAAACTTAGAATTAATTAAATTTTCTATTGTATCAATCAAATTACCTAAAATAGCAATCTAATTAATAATACAAATCTATTTTTATTAGTTACTATTTTTATACTACTTTATATTCTATATATAGTTTGGTATTACGTGTAACACTTTTGTTACACCAGCCACACTAGCCACACTAGCCACACTCTCGTACCACCCCATACCAATTTGGGTTACACAGGGTTACACAAGGTTACACAAGCCACACTAGTCACAATAGTTACACTAAAGACCCCAGTAATATCTACCCCTGCTTAAATCTATTAAATACACTACTTTAAATTTTCTAAGTGCTATTTCTGGAGAATTTTACTAAGACAATTACATCAGCGTCTTTAAGCAAAAATATCCACCAACATGCCTACTTCAATTACTCAAGATCCGGACATACTCGATCTCGATGCCTTCTATACAAACTATGCAAATACTTTTGGTGTCGCTATCTATGAAGACGAACCAAGCACGGTTAGAACAATCCCTCCTCAGTTTGGACCATCAAGTTGCGTCACAGTAAACACCAGACAAGTCAAAAAAACTCACTTCTTCAAAGCACCACGTACAACTGCAACAGTTAAATGTCTTTGTGGCAACTTTCATACACTATTCAACTCTGCAACCGGTGTTATTCATGCTTCTACATTCTTAGCTCCTGTTGTTGGAAAGAAAAACAAG